GTCTGCTTCTCCCTCTGACCCTCCTCCCTCTCATGCTCTCTGTCTCTCATTCTCTCTCTCGCAAATAAATAAAATCTTTAAAAAAAAAAAAATAAAAAGTTCTATCCCTTAAGCTAATTTTTCTTCACACTGGGAAAGACTAGCATTATTCAATTTTATCTTAAAAAAACCTCATTCCAGCTCAACAAGTATCAGTATTTTTCAAGAGGATATGGCATTTGAGAATTATAGGCCTGCAGAACGACAATGAAACTCCTCAGCACGAAAGTCAAAGTCATTCACAGACTGGTCCCAAACTACATTTCTTTCACATTTCCATACAGAGGAACCTACCACCTTCTCTTCCCCTCTTGCATACCTCCCACCCCCAACCCTGCTCAAACTTCTCATCCTCTTTGGGAATCTGATGGACTCTGGACCCTGGTACCTTTCGGTACCCTATGAGATCTGATGTCCTCCTCTGGACAAAAAGGCCCTGAAAATGGGAAGGCAAGAGAGATGGGCCAGCATCTAACAAGGTACCTACAATGTGAAGGAAGGGTGGATTCGACTATTAAGATTGCCTCAGTTTCCTTGGGTTTATAAGGAATTTCCCCAAGGATATTCTGGTGCCCTCCCCAGCCCTCCCAAAATAATGGAAGGGGAAAAAGGGAAAGTTCTGATAGGGAGCCATCCCCATCAGGTGACAATTTATATTCCCACGCCACACATTTTTTTCTCACCTCTTCTAGTCAACATATATGCATACATATACATACAGTGCATACACAGTATAATACACATATACACACCATAAATAGTCTCTTACGTAAATGCACAAGAATATTATACCGCAGGGACTTTTGTTTTGTTTTAGTGTAGTTTTTTTTTTACCTTTTTCATTTTATTTGGCTTCATGTCCTGTCCAAATAATTCACTTCCCTAGATAGATAATCCATGTTGACAACCTAACATTTCCTCTTGTGTTTCTCTACCCTAACTCAATCATGTTAAAATAATATACATACTTGCATAGATAGGCATTGTATACTTTTCTCTGTTTTTTTTTTCCATTCAACAATGCCTCATGAACATCCTTCCAACTAATAATAGATTCTTTTTAATGACTGTGTAACATTCCATGGCATGGGTGTGGTATAACTTATTCAACCAGTCTCCTAATGATGTGTATTTCAGTTCCCATTTTTTGTCACCAGGAAATGATGCAATAAACATGTTTGTTCATATAAACACTGGCCTTTTAATTTCTATGGAACAAGTTCCCAAGAATGAAACTATTGGATCAAAGGGCATTTGTTTTTATTGTTAATAGGTCTTGCCAGATTGCTTCCCAAAAAAAGCTGTAACAACTTCCATCTACATTAGGAATGGATGCGAGCCTTTCCCTCCTCTCACTCCCCTTCTCCTGCCAGGAATTGCTTGCTTTTTTCTTTCTTTCTTTGCCAGTTTGATAGGTATGAAGTGAAATTTCATTGTTCTAGTCACATATTTCCATTTTGCAGCTTGAGTATGGCTTAGGTGGTTTCTGCCTCTCATCTCCTCTATCAGTGTTTTTCAAACTGTGGGTCATGAAATAATGTAATGGGTAACACTTTTGTTTTTAATTACATGGAATAAGATATACAATAAAGGCATCACACATAGTAAGGTAAGCAATATTCTGTGAAACTTGTTTCACTTTTCATAAATGCATATTTCTGGGTCACAGTGTAAAATATATTTATTATGGGACTAGGTCCAAAAGTGTGAAAATGTAACCCTAAAGTGTTTATGTAGTCTCCCAGATTTCCTGCAAAACAACTGCTTATTTCTTCACACTTAAGTTTTATATTCATCTGGAATTCACTTCTCTGTAAGTGGTGTAGGAAATTTATTTTCTTGTACATGTACAGTCAATTGTGCCATCATCGTCTATTAAAAATACATCCTTTCCCACCAAACTGAAACACCAATTTGTCATATACTAAATCCTCATTTATAAAGGAATCTACTTATGAATCTGTTCCATTCAACTATTTATCTATTCCCATACCAATGCCATAATGATTTAAATTCAGTGGCTTTATACAATGTTTTAAGATCTGAAAAGGAAGCCCCCTCCACCTCCCCTATTCTTTTTCAAAACTTCATTGGCTGTTCTCAGAGCAAATTATTATATATGTATTCTTCTATATAAAATTTAAGATGATTTTATACAATTAAAAAAATAAACAAAACCTTGCTAGGAATCTAATTAAGATTGATTATTCCACCTTCCCAGCCTCATCTTCTACTGACACTTTCCAACACGCGTACCCTTCCCTGCAGTTATGGCCAAAAGGACTACTGACAGATCACTCAAACCCAACAAGGTTTTTCTGCTCGAGCTACTCCCACTGATTGCACTGCCACACCCCACCTTGATCCACTTTATGAAGTACTACTCCTTCGAGGAATAGCACAAATGTCCTCCCTTTGGTAAGGCTTTTCTACACTCCTCAAATCACCCCTCCTCCATGTGCGTATTTCAGGCTGGTCATATCAAGCTTCACATTAACTTATTTGTTAGCCGTGTAAAGATATCTTCGCCATAAGGGTATCAACCTTTTCTGAATGGAAACCTCACTTCCTAAATCTTTGAGTAATTCCTAGCATGCAGTAGATAGTAAATAAATGTTTCAGAATGTTAAGGTTTACCAGTGGGAAACAGGAAGACATTAGAAAGTTCCCTTTATTCCACTGAGATGTCCAAATTTTGCATGCCACACACAAATAAAATTGGAACATGTCCATTTGTTTTATGCTATTAATTTTTTTTAAGATTTTATTTATTGTTTGAGAGAAAGAGTGAGAGAGAGAGCCCGAGAAGGGGGAGGATCAGAGGGAGAAGCAGACTCCCCAATGAGCAGGGAGCCCAATGCGGCACTAGATCCCAGGACCCTGGGATCACGACCTGAGCCCAAGGCAGACGCCTAACAACTGAGCCACCCAGGCGCCCCTCTATGGTTTTTTTAAAATAATAATCATGGTATTTTAGTAATCAGATTAAGAATGGGATTTTGGCAAGGGAGGCAGGGTACAGAATTCTTCTCCACACTGCTTCTCCATACTTGCTTAATCTGAAAGGTTTTAAATTTGCCAGGCAGTAGCCAAACTGCTATATCCATATTTAAGAAGTGGCTTGCTTCTGTACCTAAAATGCAAGTAATAACAGACACAGGATACAGGCTTCTCACAACATATTCCGTGAATTCCAGGAAGACATGGAACTAGAAGCAAGCTGCCTTAGACCAGGTAGATGAAGGCAGGCAAGTCAATGAGAGTGACCTACCTTGAAGTGAGCGCACAGGTGACCTTGCTCCACTGCTCCACCACTGCCGGGTGGTGCCTCCAGTTTGCCACCATCTCCTTGGCTGTTTTCCAGTAAGGTGGTGTTGGGAAGCACCGAGTACAAGCTAGTAACCAAACCTCAAAGAGAACACCGATCAACTTCTCTGCTAGATTCTCAGCAATGCCACCTTACCAACAAAAAGAAAACATCTTTGGCATACTTATTTTTAAAGAAAAACCTTTAATTCATTGATTCAGGATAAGTGGTCAAAAAATCAAAATAACTGCAATGTTAAGTTCTGACTTTCAAATAGCCACTTATTAAGTAGGAATGAGAAACTATTCTTAGGAGCTCCTATGAAGAAAATCATGACTACATCAACCAATTATCATTTATCAAGTTTTCAAGTCACCCTGCTTGGTTCTTATCAAAGATCTTTACCTTCAGCAAGTGGGACAGACACAGAGGAGAAGGGGAAGGACGAATGTCTAGGATGTGTGACTACTGGGTCAGTTTCTGTGCTGACTGGTTTATGCACATGACCTCACGTATTCCTCACATTAATTCTGCAAGATAGATATTTATATCTTTTACCAATTATCAATTAAACACATTTTGAAGAAGAGAAAACTTAGATGAGAAAATTTAAGTAACCTCCGAGTTTACAAAGTCAGTAAGTGAAGGAATCAGAGCAAATAAATACTCAGGTCTTTCTACCTCCAACTTTTGTTGTAAAACTTTCAGGTGTTTGAAAGCTACCCTTCGGGGAGAGGGAGACAAAGAAGGGAGCAAAAGGACCGGTGCTGTGCAGGACAGAGGCTCAACCATGAAAAACAGACCTGTTCCTCTGCTCTGAGCCCCGGAACCAGGGAGAAACCCAGTAGTCTGTGCTCTGCATAGCTCCACAAGGCAAACTTGGGATTAGTAGGAAAAGTTGTAAGGATGCATATTTCAAATAAGCAAAAATGAAGTTTCAACAATGAGCCCCAGAAGGGGAGAAACTGCCTGCGTTGAGTTGCTGAGATCCCTGGCATGGAGACTGTGTACCAAAGAGCTAATGAGTCAATGACTGGCTAGCTATCATCATAACAGACAAGGTATTCCTACTATGGACTCACTTTCAACAGTGGAATTCTGTGATTTCCTTTAGATACTTTCCTGGACACTGCATTTGTGCGAGATCACAAGTGCACACTTGCATGTCTGTAGTAAGAGACTACACAGATGAATAGGCAACAAGGGAACCTAGAACTAGAATATCAACTTACAATTTGTGTACACTGTGCTGTAACATACACAGCAGGGCCTCTAAAATACATTCTGAAGGCATAAAACTGGAGGCTTCTTAATGACAAGGTAATGAGTGGCATCCTGTCACATCTCCAAATAGAACCCTTAAGATTTTATATGTTTCATTTGCTGAACAAAATATCTTCTGTAGCTGTCAAGTTTTCAGCGTCTACTTTGATAACTACTTTGTAATCAGGTACAGTACTTACAGGTTCTACTTCAGTTAGTTGTTTCTTATATAGGCTCTATCTTAATAGACTAAACAAAACCTACTGTTCCTATCATTATCAAATATGCATTAACACACTGAGTCTCTCCCTACATTAGCAAAATCATCACTGAAAGTAAAATAACTTCAGGGCTTCCATTCTAAGACCTGTTAACCTTGGTTTGTCAAATGTCATGCCAAATTGTAAATCCCTAATGAGTCTACTACTCATTGAGTTTAAAGTGAACTGCATCCAGAGCTCAGAAATAAATTAGAAAAAACATAAACAGACCTTGAACAGTTGGTGGGGCTAGAAGTATGTCATTAATCTGCAGAAGAAACAACAGTAAGACTTCCCACGTTTCTCGTGCCATGATGGATGACTCACGGGCCAGTTTCTGAATGGCTCTCAGGACCTGTAAGCATAGTCGGATCTGACTGGAGCCCTGTTCCTGTCTGAAGAAGACAGACATATCACTGACAAGCCTTGAGGAGAAAAAGCAAAGGCTTGAGGACAGGCGACTTACGGACACAGCAAGCAATGGTCCAATGACACTCCCTAAGAGCATCAGAGGACAGGACAAGGTGCAGCCTCTTCATTTCAAAGATATTTTGCCACCATACAGTTTGGCATTCTGGGATCTCAACCTACCATTTCTATGAGAGCTTGAAAAGCTCCTGGGGACGGGGGGAACAGTAGAATGTAAGCTTCACCTCTGGATTTTCTAAGTCTAAAATGTGCCTGACACATAACAGGCACACCATTTTCTGCTGAGTGAATGAGTAAATACCCACAGCCCCTTCTGTTGCTCACAATGAAGCAGAATGGCCTTCGTATTCTTTTTAACATTTTTTAAACACACATTCACGAGAATTTAGAATGTGAATTTATGGTGGTCACAGTTCCTTTGAAGCTAATGTCTGCTAGAGAAGAGCCTATAGACCCAATGGAATATCCTCACAGGTCCCTGAAACTGATGAGGTATGGAGGCAACTGCCTCAGAAATGAGCACCCTGCTACTGCTGTTCTAATAAAAAAGGCAACTTAACCTAAGATGGGGGTTCCAATGGTTCCCAAGATACCCTAGAAAAAAGTTTTATAACTCTCTTTAGTCCACAGGACCATTTTTTCTCAAGAGAATAAAATAGATCAAAGTATTGGAGCTAGAGTTGAAGAAAGAGGTCCAAGCCCCAGCCCCTTATCCCTACTTTCCAAAGTGGACCACCTGAGAATTTTGAGAATAGTAGGAAACTCACTGCATAAATGAGTGGTGAGTTGGCCTCCAGACCTCCTATGTGAAACCTAAGACAAGTAACTAATATTACTGAAATAAATCTCGAGGACAAGTTTCTATATTATGACTTACATCACAAAGAACTGATAAAACAGAGCTTCCTCAAAAAATCCAGAAAATGAAGTGAGTGGCCTTACCACTCCCGCCCCAACCTGAGGATAGAAGATTCTCAGATTCTGGGCCATGGCCCAGAAAACCAGACACTTACCCTAAAGTTGCAAACAAATGACACCAGTAAGTTTTTCCTAAAGAAGTCCTACCAAGAGTAAAATGAGACATTCACCTAGGAAAGACAAAGACCCCCAAAGAGCAGGGAGACGTCCCATGTTCAGCTGGCAGTGAATCCAGCTCATGTGAAGCCATGAGTCTCAAGTTTGTGTCTGTTGCTCTGGCTACATGAAGAACAGTACAAAACTATGTAATAGCCCCAAATCTCATCTAGCCATACAAGAAGTCCAGAATAAGAAATAAGAATAGCTCTGGGGTTGACACTCTTCCAAGCTACTGATAAGACTCCAAGCCAGTAACCTAGGCCTACCCACTATTTCCAGGTACCTGTCTGCTAGTACAAAAGGAAACATCTGCTCTGTAGGTAACTGTAGCCTCACTACGAAGACCTAAATTTAGGAGCAGTGTCCAAGTTTCTAAAGCTAAGAGAAAAAGGATCATCTTTACTAAAAAATAAACAGAAAGGTCTACACACCAGAGATTTTCCTTTCCCAATGACCTGAGCCAAAGGCAGACGCTTAACAACTGAGCCACCCAGGTGCCCCCCCAACATTTTCAAAAAGAACTTATGATCTTCAGAAAAACTGTTCTTAGAACAAGGGCTGGTGAACTATAGCCCATGGGTCAAATCTGGACTACCACCTGTTTTTGTTGAAATTTTATTGGAACACTGCCATGCTCATTCATTTATACATTATCTATGGCTGCTTTCTCTACATCAGCAGAGTTGAGTAGTTAGGACACCATATAGCCCACAAATTTACTATCTGGGTCTTTATCAAAAAAGTTTGCCAACCACTGCTTTAGAAGAATATTATTTTTTAAACTACATTATATTTGAGCAATGAAAACCCTAATCGATTTTAAAAGATGATTCACTCTTCATTCCATTATGCAAATAAAAAGGAGATCAAACTGATAGGCGGGCGCCTGGGTGGCTCAGTTGGTTAAGCGACTGCCTTCGGCTCAGGTCATGATCCTGGAGTCCCAGGATCGAGTCCCGCATCGGGCTCCCTGCTCGGCGGGGAGTCTGCTTCTCCCTGTGACCTTCCCCCCTCTCATGTGCTCTCTCTCTATCACTCTCTCAAATAAATGAATAAATAAAATCTTTAAAAAACAAACAAACAAACAAAAAAACTGATAGGCAAAAAGAGAAAGGTTACCCCTGACTTATCTCTAGCAAAGTGGTAAAAAGTTTCTTCTGAGTGTCACTTTTTATAAAAACAACTAAGTAAACTTGATGACAATTTTGTGATCTGAATTAAAAAAAAAAAACAACCCTGATACTTCCAATAAAGGGAGAGGAGATCATACCTCCCAATACTTAGCACTGAAAATATTCAGCTCCCTAAGACACTGTTGGCCAGGAGAACTCTAGTACTCAGTTCAATATCCTCTCCAAAGAATGCACACACACTCTTGAGAAAACAAGCTAATGAACAAGGTACTCATGTTCTCAAAAGGGAAAAAAAGCAAAAGCCCAATTAACTCAAATGCCATTGATATTTTTTATCAATACAAATGAATTGAGCACGGAGAGGTGGTAAGAGTACAAAAAGGAAAGAAACACAGTGACAATACTACTCATCAAACTGTCCCATGCCCAAGGAAAAAGGTCAGTAAATTAGTCTCCTACATGGAGTGACAAAAGCATTAAAACTATTACACCATTTTAGAAGAGCCTGCTTAGACACAAATAATATGCTAATCATGGCCAACTACTTCCTATTACTACTTCTATTTGAAATCAATAAATAAGCAACTAATATTTAATTCACACCTAAAGTAATGTAAGGACTGCACCAGGTACTGTGGAAGCCCAAAATATGTACAACCTAATTCTTGCCTTCCAGATGGTTAGCTGGGGAAATGAGACACACACATTTTAAAAGATAAACAATAAAACAGTGAAGACATAAAAGAGTGACACAGGAAGTAACACACTGGTTCAGAAAAGGTATGATCACTGTGGGTCAGGATGGTCAAGTAAGGCTTCTTTTTATAAGGCAGGATTTAAGATGAACCAACAAAAGTGAGATGTGGACAACTAGGAGAGGGAGAAGAGGAAGAAAAAGACAAAAGGGCAGGTGAAGATGTGGAAAATCATTAAGGAGTCTTAAGGGAATGTATAATTTATGAGTCTGACCAATGAGCAGGGCTCATGCAGAATTAGCAGCAGATAATCTGGCTAGATTATAGCCAGCATTTCACACAAGGCAAGGAGTTTATATTTGATCCTACACATCACAGTTCTCAATGAGATTTTTTTTTTTTTAAAGATTTTATTTATTTATTTGACGGAGAGAGACACAGCGAGAAAGGGAACACAAGCAGGGGGAGTGGGAGAGGGAGAAGCAGGCTTCCCGCAGAGCAGGGAGCCTGATGTGGGGCCCAATCCCAGGACCCTGGGATCATGACCCAAGCTGAAGGCAGATGCCCAACGACAGAGCCACCCAGGTGCCCCTCAATGAGATTTTTTTTAAATTCAAATTTTACAAAGTAATCTTCTAAAACTCTTTAAAAAAAATTTTTTTGGGGGGGACACCTAGGTGGCTCAGTCAGTTAAGCGTCTGCCTTCAACTTAGGTCATGATCCCGGGATCCTGGAATCCAGTCCTGAGCTAGGCTCCCTGCTCAGTGGGGAGTCTGCTTGTCCCTCTCCCTCTGCCCCTCCCCTCTGCTCATGCTCTCTCTCACTCTCTCTCACTCACTAATAAATAAATAAAATTTTTAAAAAATAATTTTTTTAAGTATACTCTATGCCACATGCGGGGCTCGAACTCACGACCCTGAGATCAAGAGTTGCATGCTCTACCAACTGAGCCAGCCAGGTGCCCCCAAAGTAAACTTCCTTCTAAATTTAAAAAGTTAAAATTTATAGAGTAGTTTTTGGATGATTCAAAGTCCCTCACCAGCTGATAAAGAAAAAGCTGTAACAAGAACTTTTCCAAAAGGAAGCCTCTTTGCCTCTTTCAAAGATATTAAGAAATCGCTAAAGACAGGTTTTTCTTAAAGGAAATCCTCGTGATTGGATAAGAAACTAATTAATGCTTTCTTCTCCATTATTTTCTCTATTTCCCAAACTCTTTACAATGACATACAATCTTTTAGAACTGGGAAAAAAAATTTTTTTAAGATTTATTTATCTGAGAGAGAGAGTGCAACATGGGGAAAGCACAAGCAGGGGAGAGGGAGAAACAGACTCCCTGCCGAGCGGGCTTGATCCCAGGACCCTGAGATCGTGACCTGAGCTGAAGCCTGACACTTAACTGACTGAGCCACCCAGGCGCCCCTGGAAAAAAAATTTTAAGCCCAAATAAGGTACTTATCACATATTATGATATTTAAGATCTTTGTCTTAGAAGACAGGAGAAAAAAAATCAGTAACAAACTGTTAACATAATCTTTTGGCCTACTATGAATTTGCCCATAATTTCAAGTCTGCTTACTTCAATGTCTTCATTCTCTCATAGGAAAGATTCATTTTAAGGTGAACACTTAGGTGCCTAGAAAAGAATTATGATAGGCAAAAGTATGTTTTTTGAATGGAGGGGAAAGGTGTCATAGCATTTTAATATCTAACAGCTATCAGATCTTAGAAAGGAAACCAAAAGCCTTTAGTGAACACATACTTGTTAAAAACACTTAGTAAGGGGCACCTGGGTGGCTCAGTCGTTAAGCGTCTGCCTTCAGCTCAGTTCATGGTCCCAGGGTCCTGGGATCGAGCCTGCATCAGGCTCCCTGCTCAGCAGGAAGCCTGCTTCTCCCTCTCCCACTCCCCCTGCTTGAGTTCCCTCTCTCACTGTCTGTCAAAAAATAAAATCTTAAAGAAAAAAAAAAAAAACTTAGTAAACATTATATAAGCCCATCTCTCTTATCATTCATATTAATACATTCTTTGAACAGTAATGAAAGTTACTTTTCAAAAGACTAACAATGAAATCAGCTCCTATTAATACAAAAAAGTAACATTTATGAATATTTTATTATGATCCTGATAACAGGCCAGACAGACAGGTATAGCTTACCTTGGTACAAAAAGATTTTGCAGGTGTTTTAGTATACTTTGAACATATAGATTAGGCTCTTTAATAACTGGCAATGGAATAGAATCTTTCGGCAATACTAGAGCCATAATCCAGTCTGTATATACATCAACACAATATTTTACAGTCTCTCCATCCAATGGAAGGGTCAGTCCATAGCAAATTACTTCCATTGTCCATTTCACCTAAACAAAAGAAAATATACATACAGAATTATCACACATCCCTACTATATTTCAGTAGACTGATTTAAAATATTTACCTCTTTTATTACCAAAAACCTCTCAAGTGACAGTATATTCATCTCAACTATGTATCATCAGATTTATTCTCAAGAATGCACTTTCCATGGATAAAATATACTCAGACAACATTTCCTAAGCAAAATATTTAAGAAGAAAATAAATTATTTATTTCTAAATATTAAGCCCATGTTGGCTTTTACCCATTAGACATTATTATTGTTTGCTATGTGAAATAAAAAGCAATTACGGGCCATCTTGATTTTCCCTAGAGGCTGGAGGCACAGAAATAGAAAATTTTAGCTATATTTCTTCTTTTAATTTGTATACAGGTATGTGTGTCATTTAGGAAATCATATACATAAATTCAATCATATTCCATTTCCAGATTATGCAACATTAACAAGCAACAGGAAGGAATATTAACTGCTCAACTCTTATTCTGTGACTTTTTCTGCCAAAGAAAATAATTAACATGGGAAGGTAAGAACAAACACAAGTGAGAAGGGACTTAAGCTGGGTAAGATCTTAACAAGGCACTTAGCTGCACTAAATGAGTGCTAGCCTCTTGACCCATCTGCATTACATCATAGAGGCTGAGAGAACTTGCTTAAGAAACTGCCAAACCATTGCCTGCAGTCATGAAGAATGAATACGATATGAGCAGAAAGGGAAAATAGCATAATTTACAAAAGAGGATGAAACAATATTCCAGATACTGTAGACTGGAAAGTTTCAGTGAATGCCAGACGAAACTGTGGGACAAAATTACTAAGCAGATGATCAATGAGCACTTACAAAAAGGAAGCATGATCACTAGGAACCAGCCTACTCAAAAAGAACAAGTCATGCCAGACAAGCTTCATTCCTTTACTAACAAGGTTACTATGAAGGCAGTGGACAATTGCATAACCCTGGCAATTTACAAAGCAACTTTCATAAATATCATCTAACCATCAAAATAACCCTGTGTGAGAGGGTACACTATCGTCACTTTATAGATAAGAAAAATGACACTTAGGAAGATTAAGCAATTTGGCCCAAGTCACTGGTGTGGAAATGGTAAAACTGAAAACTTGGGCCCTAGTCTTCCAGCTAGACATCTGAAGCTACTCTCACCATACTATCAATAGCCTTGTCTGGCTAGGCGGACCTGGGTTTTAGCAAGAAATGTGGTCAGATGCAGGATATCCTTTGGACAGGATGGAGACCTATGGCCCAGAGGAAAGTAGAATAGCTGTTTTTATAAGTGGTTGAGACACAAGATGAGAGAACACAGTGGGTTAATGCACGAAGATCATTTTGAAGAAGGTGCCCAGTGGCATGCCAAAGGCCCTGCTGAGATTTGTAACTTAGGAAAAGACAGAAAAACAGATTATAGGCTGACCATCTGTAGATATCACAAAGCTAAAATGGACAGCTAACTTGTTAGATAGAAATTCAGGATTCAAAAAGACTTTAGCAGTTTAAAACAAAAGTTGAATCTAATAAGATAAATACATGTAGAGAAAATTTTAAGCTCAAAAACAACTACAAAGACTAAGGGTAAAATTATGTAACAACAATGTAACATAGATAATATAATACAATATTATCCGCAACAGTGATAAACTTTAAAGGCTGTAACACCACAGTGAAGCTGGGACAAATATAGGAGGGTGGGAGGAATTTAACCACGCATAAGAAAGGATTTTAAAAGGGACTGCAAGTCCGTAATTGTCAGATGAAAAGACAAAGGAGAAAATATCTCTGGTGATATCTCCATAATAGTTCAATTGTATAATTCTAGAGGACACTGGATTCAAGGACTATTCTCTCGTATCTTTTTAAGGGTGGGGAAGGAGAACGAACAAGAGTGCAGCACAGCACCTCTATCCACTTATGTGCCCTCTCTTCCCAGGAGATAATTACAGACCCACCAGGAGGAGAGTGCACCAGGCCAAGCGCTGGACCTCAGGGTAAGTCTCTGCTAAGGTACTCTGAAGAGAGAAAAACGCTCCTCAGACTGAGAGGCTTCATCCTCCAGCAACCCATGGCCTGTGGAGGGTAAATAAACTGCCTTTAGAGCTATAAGCTTTAGTCTTGTATCCAGTCTTCCATGTAGATTAGGTCTAATCTCTCCTTCACCAGAAAGAAATCAAAAAGTAAGGGGGAGAAAAAGTGGGTCTGGAAAATAAGTTAACCCTAAGTCTGAAGGCTGTATTCCTCAAGTACAGAGACAAAGTTCTAATCCCGTATCTTAGCCAGACATCACACTAGCAAATTCCTGTATCCCTCCATTATCAGGGTCCCTTCATGACCTGCCCCTGAAAACTTCACTTCAGCCCAGTCACCTGAACCCAAGACCAGAGGACCACCTCCAGGCCAAGCCACTCTAGGAGCCCTTATCTTTAGGGACAGCAAACACAACCCCCATTCCAACCACTTGGGCTCACAGCCATATGCGCTTAGCTGCTCTGCAGCACTCTTAAATCTGAGAGTCAGGTAAGGATAGGCAGACATGGAGACACAGGAGGGCCTCAAGTTCAGTGCATATGTGAAGCCTGAAAACTTGACACAAGACAGGCCTTCAGTTATAGGCCATACTGGAGTAGCAATGAAGACCTTCCAAACACACCTCTGAATAAAAATCTGAAAATTGGGCCCAGAGCTTAGAGGCAAGGGCCTGACACTTAAGCCTCTGTCTTGGGCACACAGCTCAAGTAGAGAGTTGGGTCTGGCTAGTAAGGAGCCAGCAGCACAATGGTACAACCTATTCCTTGACCCCCACAAACTCTCAGTCCCAACCTTCAACCCAAACAAAGGTCAAAATTTTAAAAAGTTGTACTGCATTGGACAGAAACCCATTAAAAGGACAATGTCAAATAAATTCTTCAGTAACAAAATTATGTTTTCACACAGTAGAATGAAAGGAAGAAACACTTACTTCTTTGTCAGTTTTTAATAAACTCTCACTACCAGCCACTGAAGGGGTACCTAAGGCCTGCCCAAGGGGATGGACCACTGCATTTGCCACCTCTCGCCCAACGCTCTCTGGATAGCTGTGCAGCACACTCGTGTGGCCCTGATCATTCTGAATCACCAAATGCAGTGACCTCCACTCAGAGTACATCGTGCCGCTAAAGGACTATCCAAATGGCACCTGAAAAGACAAAACAGAATTACTGTTAAATTACACTGTTGCAAATTAATAAAAATAAGTAAAACACAGATTTACCCTACACAGTAAGATAAAGCAGCTACGAACACACTGCCAAGTAGACTGAGAAAAAAATACATCTAAATGTTTTGAGAATGTCCTAAAACAACCTCATGGCAAGATCAGGTAGGAAGGCAGATCCTGGGAAGCAGCTGTCTAAGCACCTCCCCAAAAGAGCCGCAGAAGCCCTGGAATGGAACTGGGACAGACGCCACTGTGCAGGGGGATAAAATTATCTGATTTGGTACTCATAGCAAGAGGGAGCCCTCCTCATTCTATGTTCCAGGATAGAAAAAGATAGCAGAATGAAGCGCCCTAAGTAGGAAAGGAAGACAAAGAGTTTACTCCAAGATCCAGATTTTTCAGTCAATAGTTTCCAAGTACCTATTACATGCTAGAAACATACCCCTGCAATTTCCCATCAATGTCCTCAAATCAGACATAAAATTCTTTGAGACTATTTCATTCCCTGCAGCAGTGACACACAAATTTCTAATAACAGTGTAGACTGGAAGTCACGGTGTTCTTCAGAAAATATATTAAGAGCTCCACTCACTGAGCATTTACTACGTGCTACTCATGCAATCATCAAAACAACTCAATGAATAGGAGTGCCTGGATGGCTCAGTCGGCTGAGCGTCCCGACTTTTGGTTTCAGCTCAGGTCTTGGGATCCAGCCCCACATCAGGCTCCACGCTCAGCAGGGAGTAAGCTTGGGATTCTCTCCCTCCTTTTCCCTCTGCCCCTCCCCCCACTTGTGTGTGTGTGTGTATGCATGCACGCTCTCGCTCTCTCTCTCCCCGCCTAAAGATAAATAAATCTTGAAAAAAAACCCAACTCAATGAATATTAATGAACGTTATCTCTATTCCACAGATGAAAAAGCTGAGACAGAGAGGTTTGCTACTTACCTGAGGCTTCAGAGCTATAACATGGTGGAGCTGGGTTTGAATCCATATCTGTTGGGTTCCAGGAACCATTCTCTTAACCATGGCATGTACTACCTTGTCCCTAACCTATACATTCTCCATGCATGTACTGCTTCACCCTGTGCTGTATATTCTCCATGAAATGATCTATGTCTACCATACAAATGAAAAACTTTCAGCCACAGAAAACATATCTGTATGAATACAATGTAAATGTTACAATCATAAACACCATGCTCATGAAGAGAATCAAGGATGGTTAGCTCTTTCCAATTAATTTCTGTTAACTTCCAACTTCTACTTGTTCTGAAATCTGTATGCCCAGCCAGCAGAGTTTAAGCAAAATACATGGGTACACTTAATCTTTAAAAAGTTCTATCCCTTGGGCGCCTGGGTGGCTCAGTTGGTTAAGCGACTGCCTTCGGCTCAGGTCATGACCCTGGAGTCCCGGGATCGAGTCCCACATCGGGCTCCCTGCTCAGCAGGGAGTCTGCTTCTCCCTCTGACCCTCCTCCCTCTCATGCTCTCTGTCTCTCATTCTCTCTCTCGCAAATAAATAAAATCTTTAAAAAAAAAAAAATAAAAAGTTCTATCCCTTAAGCTAATTTTTCTTCACACTGGGAAAGACTAGCATTATTCAATTTTATCTTAAAAAAACCTCATTCCAGCTCAACAAGTATCAGTATTTTTCAAGAGGATATGGCATTTGAGAATTATAGGCCTGCAGAACGACAATGAAACTCCTCAGCACGAAAGTCAAAGTCATTCACAGACTGGTCCCAAACTACATTTCTTTCACATTTCCATACAGAGGAACCTACCACCTTCTCTTCCCCTCTTGCATACCTCCCACCCCCAACCCTGCTCAAACTTCTCATCCTCTTTGGGAATCTGATGGACTCTGGACCCTGGTACCTTTCGGTACCCTATGAGATCTGATGTCCTCCTCTGGACAAAAAGGCCCTGAAAATGGGAAGGCAAGAGAGATGGGCCAGCATCTAACAAGGTACCTACAATGTGAAGGAAGGGTGGATTCGACTATTAAGATTGCCTCAGTTTCCTTGGGTTTATAAGGAATTTCCCCAAGGATATTCTGGTGCCCTCCCCAGCCCTCCCAAAATAATGGAAGGGGAAAAAGGGAAAGTTCTGATAGGGAGCCATCCCCATCAGGTGACAATTTATATTCCCACGCCACACATTTTTTTCTCACCTCTTCTAGTCAACATATATGCATACATATACATACAGTGCATACACAGTATAATACACATATACACACCATAAATAGTCTCTTACGTAAATGCACAAGAATATTATACCGCAGGGACTTTTGTTTTGTTTTAGTGTAGTTTTTTTTTTACCTTTTTCATTTTATTTGGCTTCATGTCCTGTCCAAATAATTCACTTCCCTAGATAGATAATCCATGTTGACAACCTAACATTTCCTCTTGTGTTTCTCTACCCTAACTCAATCATGTTAAAATAATATACATACTTGCATAGATAGGCATTGTATACTTTTCTCTGTTTTTTTTTTCCATTCAACAATGCCTCATGAACATCCTTCCAACTAATAATAGATTCTTTTTAATGACTGTGTAACATTCCATGGCATGGGTGTGGTATAACTTATTCAACCAGTCTCCTAATGATGTGTATTTCAGTTCCCATTTTTTGTCACCAGGAAATGATGCAATAAACATGTTTGTTCATATAAACACTGGCCTTTTAATTTCTATGGAACAAGTTCCCAAGAATGAAACTATTGGATCAAAGGGCATTTGTTTTTATTGTTAATAGGTCTTGCCAGATTGCTTCCCAAAAAAAGCTGTAACAACTTCCATCTACATTAGGAATGGATGCGAGCCTTTCCCTCCTCTCACTCCCCTTCTCCTGCCAGGAATTGCTTGCTTTTTTCTTTCTTTCTTTGCCAGTTTGATAGGTATGAAGTGAAATTTCATTGTTCTAGTCACATATTTCCATTTTGCAGCTTGAGTATGGCTTAGGTGGTTTCTGCCTCTCATCTCCTCTATCAGTGTTTTTCAAACTGTGGGTCATGAAATAATGTAATGGGTAACACTTTTGTTTTTAATTACATGGAATAAGATATACAATAAAGGCATCACACATAGTAAGGTAAGCAATATTCTGTGAAACTTGTTTCACTTTTCATAAATGCATATTTCTGGGTCACAGTGTAAAATATATTTATTATGGGACTAGGTCCAAAAGTGTGAAAATGTAACCCTAAAGTGTTTATGTAGTCTCCCAGATTTCCTGCAAAACAACTGCTTATTTCTTCACACTTAAGTTTTATATTCATCTGGAATTCACTTCTCTGTAAGTGGTGTAGGAAATTTATTTTCTTGTACATGTACAGTCAATTGTGCCATCATCGTCTATTAAAAATACATCCTTTCCCACCAAACTGAAACACCAATTTGTCATATACTAAATCCTCATTTATAAAGGAATCTACTTATGAATCTGTTCCATTCAACTATTTATCTATTCCCATACCAATGCCATAATGATTTAAATTCAGTGGCTTTATACAATGTTTTAAGATCTGAAAAGGAAGCCCCCTCCACCTCCCCTATTCTTTTTCAAAACTTCATTGGCTGTTCTCAGAGCAAATTATTATATATGTATTCTTCTATATAAAATTTAAGATGATTTTATACAATTAAAAAAATAAACAAAACCTTGCTAGGAATCTAATTAAGATTGATTATTCCACCTTCCCAGCCTCATCTTCTACTGACACTTTCCAACACGCGTACCCTTCCCTGCAGTTATGGCCAAAAGGACTACTGACAGATCACTCAAACCCAACAAGGTTTTTCTGCTCGAGCTACTCCCACTGATTGCACTGCCACACCCCACCTTGATCCACTTTATGAAGTACTACTCCTTCGAGGAATAGCACAAATGTCCTCCCTTTGGTAAGGCTTTTCTACACTCCTCAAATCACCCCTCCTCCATGTGCGTATTTCAGGCTGGTCATATCAAGCTTCACATTAACTTATTTGTTAGCCGTGTAAAGATATCTTCGCCATAAGGGTATCAACCTTTTCTGAATGGAAACCTCACTTCCTAAATCTTTGAGTAATTCCTAGCATGCAGTAGATAGTAAATAAATGTTTCAGAATGTTAAGGTTTACCAGTGGGAAACAGGAAGACATTAGAAAGTTCCCTTTATTCCACTGAGATGTCCAAATTTTGCATGCCACACACAAATAAAATTGGAACATGTCCATTTGTTTTATGCTATTAATTTTTTTTAAGATTTTATTTATTGTTTGAGAGAAAGAGTGAGAGAGAGAGCCCGAGAAGGGGGAGGATCAGAGGGAGAAGCAGACTCCCCAATGAGCAGGGAGCCCAACGCGGGGCTTGATTCCAGGACTCCCAGATCATGACCTGAGCCAAAGGCAGATGCTCAACCAACTGAGCCACCCAGGTGCCCCTATACTATTAGTTTTTTAAAAAGTAGTTAGATGGTTTCCAAATATCTAAAGAATATTTAATTAATATTTAGCATGCATTCCAGACAACACACTATTGGAGGATAAAAACGGTTTCAAAAAAAATAAAAAAAGAAAAGTTAGCTTTCAAACTCCATTGCACACGTAAGAATCATGGAGGGGTGGGGCAGGGGTGGTGGTGGTGCTGCTGCGTATCTCCAGGCCCTATCACTAGAAACTGAAATTCTGTATAGGTCTACATTGGGACCTGGGAATAAGCATTTTTAAGAAACAGCTGCTATCCCTCCCAATTCTGAAAAAAGACAGTATTATTCTTTAAAAACAACAACAATACTGTGAAAGACCAATCAAAACAGGTTTAATAGCTCTTAAATTCTTAAAAACTTAAATGTAAGAAATTTTAATTCTTTAAATGTATTTTTAAATAATTAAATGTAAGAAAATGAAACGTGTAAAGGAGAAAGGTATAGAAAAGATACAGTGAAAAAGTTTAACTTAACTATTAAAATGTATGTAACAGAAAAAAACAT